CACACTTCAGATAGGCCAAGTCTTTATTTACTTCAGGCAAATGAAATGTCTCCAAACACTGATATTATGCTAAAAAGCCTAGCAAAGTTGGTAGGGCAAGATGCTTGTTAGAACAGTATCCAGGGCTTAGGCCAGTATTGGCCAGTCAACTCTACAGCGAGAAAAGACCATCTTGGCCAAAGGGTGCCTCACCAACCTTAGCCAACAGTTGCGTGAATTTGTACTCTTGGCCAAAGGGAAGACGGAGTGAAGGAATGTTGGTTACTCAGCATAACCCATCCTAATTCCCGGGTAGGTGAGCACGTGTCCAAATGACAGGTGTGTCAGCTTTCTGTAATAAACAGGACATCTGGCTAGGAGACACAAATAGCCAGTATATAAGATGATTAAATGCCCAATAATATTTAATAAAGTTGTCACAGTTTATCAGTAATTCTTTTTTAAAATTTAATTATTTTTCAACTACAGTATTCTGTCTTTTACTCCTATCCCAGCACCCCCCCCCCCCCCCGTTTATCAGTAATTCTTAAGAGAAGCACTTAATAAATCTCCCTGTGAAAGGTGCACTCTATCGGCCAAGTTGTATCTGAAATGCAGCCGCCACAACAGTGGGCCAGCGCGCCAGCTGGGGTTCCTGTGAATTCAGCCCTCTTGATGTTAAGTAAGAGGTGTGGGCTTTTCATAAAGACCATCGGCTCATATAATCTGATGCTATTTTCATCAATAGTTGAAAATGAAATTAGCTTATCAGAAGAGTAATGATTATTTTAACTGGTTAAGAGAAGGAGGAGACTATTCTCAAGAAGGAAAGAGAAGATTAGGGAGAGGTGTGGAGGTAGGAGGTCCGTTCTGAAGCTTCTGAAGCGTGCTGGGGAGCAGCCACGCTGGAGGGTCCTGCTGTGCCCCTGAGAGCCTGGTGTGATGCAAACTGGCTTGGCCTGCTCGAAGAAAGCAGCCTGACCCTACCTGCCCTGTGCACTGCAGGCTCCAAGAAAAGGCAACTGCTTCTTTTGTACAAAAACGTATTTCCTGAAAAACAGCCACTGCCAATTCTATTGGTCTTCATTAAAGTCAAAAGCATGATTCTTGTAAAAATTCACATATAAAAGCAGATGTAGCGCTGGTTGGTGTGGACTGAGTGCCAGCCTGCAAACCAAAGAGTCGCTGGTTCCAGTCGCTGGTTCCAGTCCTGGTCAGGGCACATGCCTGGGTTGCAGGCCACGTCCCCAGTGGGGGGCATGTAAAAGGTAACCACACACTGATGTTTCTCTCCCCCTCTTTCTCCCTCCTCTCCCCTCTCTCTAAAAATAAATAAATAAAATCTTTTAAAAAAGCAGACATAAAGTGAAAGTTCCCCTTTGAGTCTCTTTTTCCCTCTTCCACAACCAAACCTCACTTCCCAGACGTAAACACTACTGTCTTTCCTTTTTCCTGTTTTCTTCCAGTCTTCGGATGCTATTCCTGGATATTTTCCTCCCTCATGAAATTTACAGGAATTTAAACTCATTTGTGTTCTCCCATCTGAATGGCCCTGGCTCATTAATTACTTGGTAGCCTGCCTTGAGCCCATCTGGAATCGCTGCCATCCGAAATGACCTCCCTTTCCCTCTGCTCACTAGTGAGTAGGTTTCCCTCGGAAGATGGATGGCTCCTTCCCCTGGCCCTCCAGGTCTCCTGGATGCAGAAGCTGATCTGAGCAAAGGCACAGATTAAAGCTACACCTCTAACAGGAGAGGAAGTAAATGCGGGCCACATGAGCTTTACTCACAAGCAAGAGCTCGGGGCTTTTCCATTTCAAGTTCAGATCACTCCCCAGACTGGCCTCCCCAACTGGAGGACACCTACCCCCACCACGCACACAAACACACCAAGTGTGTGCCCTTTAGTCCACGGCTCCAGCTCTGCCAGTCATTCAGACAACCAGGTCAGCTGAATACATGGAGACAAAGGGGCATTTCATATACTCTTATTTTGGCAGTTGAAATAACACAGCAAGTGCCAGATCTTCACAGGACAAATCTCTCTGTGCATGTCAAACACACCGAGAGGGCTGCTGGGAGAGCGGGCTGCTGAATTGAGGGTCCAAGATGGATTTAAGTCATGATAAATTTTTGAAAGGATTATTTTTTTATTTTGTACTTTAGTAATACAAAATGATGATTGCTACTTCTTATTAAGCAGGTACCCTATACACTTTCTTTCATTTAATCCTCACAACCACCGTGTAAATCAGTTATTTCCAGGCTTGCAGGTGAGGAAATCAGTACTCAGAGGTCCACAACTTGCCCAAGGCCACGCGGCCAGGAAGTGAAGGACGGGAGTGGGCTCAGAAGTTCCTGTGGCTTCCGGGAACTAAAGAAGCTGACACTCTGGGAGCTGGAAGCAAATCCAGCTTCCTCTCCTCTCTGCCTTGTTTTCTGGAATGCAGCGGCCTCACAGAGAGGAACTTAAGAAGACTTCAAACACCCACCTTCACGTTTGCTTTATGTTGGATGATGCGAGTTCAAAAAAGAACCACCTTCCTGAATTCGAAAAGCATTAGGCAAAATTATTTTTTTTAAGTGGCAGGAATAAATATTTAATTAGATAATGCGACATTGAATTTTGCCTGGCTTTGCAACATCTCAGGCAATAAAACAAGTCCTTCTCTACAGGGCTAATTACAGATGGCTAAATTATTTTTAATAAAACCTTCTGGAATATTAAACATGAGGGATGAAGCAATGTGGTATTGCAGAATGGCTCTAGTCTGGCAATCTGGGTTCTAACCCTGACTCAGCCACTAATAACCACCAACGTTTATTTGCATGGTCTACACAGTTTACAGTGTTTTCACATACTTGCTCCATTAGCTGGGTGACCTTGGGCAAGTCATTTAACTTTCGGTGCCTGGTGTCAAAATCTGGATATGAGGACACTGAACTACACCACTGGAAGTCCCCTCCGCTTTTAACATCCTAAGGGAGTGGCATATGTGTCTTCAGATCTCTACAAATGTGTCTGTAAGCAGATCAGGACAGGCGCATTCTGGTTTATAAAAATTCAATATTCTGTTCAGCTTGTTGAAAGATGCTGCTTGGCTAATCCAAGTATAACTCACGAGACATTGCTCCCAGGTAGTTCGCTCGGCTTCAGGAGGGTACCATTAAGGCCCTGGGCTGGATCCCCACATGGGAACTTTCCACTGTTCAGTAGCCAACTGCCACGCCTAATGCCAGCCAATCATCGTAGATACGTGGCTTGGTGGAAGGGCTTACAGAAATCTGTCCTCACAATGTGTGCATCTCAGGATGCTAAGTAAGTAATGGTATCATCACACACCCAGGAATGATACAAATATCATTCTTTTTCAGTCCTGAGACACACCAATCCCTCTTTCAAGTCCTACCACTCACTGGATGTTTTCGCATCCCAGAAATTAGGATACACTTTAGAACAACAACATATACGTTGATCTGACAGTGTTCAATTATTTTACCTAAAAGGTGTTGGCAAATTGCTGGTGTGTCTTAAGAGTCAAGGAAATATAATCCTAAAAAACCACAACATAGATTACACAGATTTAGTTCCAACTTGGTTCAAATAATGTCCCTCTCCCCGATCTTAATATCATGTTCAGTAACAACTGTATAGGTAATGTATAAGAAACAGACAGGTATTAGTCCTGTTTCCCAATAGTAGCAGTTTAAAAGGCATTCCATCATTATCTCATAAAATACTGGTATGGATTTCAAAGGCAAATTAGCTCATATAAAAATCCATGTGATGCTCTGAAAATTTACTATCCCACAGCAAATTGGAAAGGGAACATTTTACTCACACCCTCTTGATCTATCTGGCCTTGACACATTTTTCTTGCTTCTTAACTCACAACCCTCCACCCCAGTAATATTGCTGATTCCCAAAATACCCTTGACCCAGGAGGAGCAGCTCTCCGGCACAGCTGTCTGCTCCTGCCCTGCCCGGGTATTTCCGTGAGCTATGTGACACAGAGAGGACCACACCGAAGGAATGTAACTCTCAGGCCCCACAGTTCCCATCGCCCCACGGGCAGGTGCATCCCGCCAAACCCCAGACTGGCATTCGAAATAGAAGAAACTGCGCCGCTGCATGGGGGCTGTAGTTTTCCTGAACTCCATCTCTATGTTTAAAACTAGGGCAACAGCCGTCTTTGCTACTGTAAACTAATCTGATGGGCATGGGGGTGGGGAGTGGCTCTGAGGAGGCTGCCAACAGGCCATGAGTGAGCAAACTCGAGGAGCAAAATCGTTATTTCTCACTGTTCCCAATCCCAGAAACTCCATGTGAGAGGTTCCTTCAGCATGAATTTTAGGAGTAAACCACCTACTTCTTTTGCAGCCTGGAGTAAAAAACCACAAAGCCTCATGCAGAGTTTAACTACTTGATATTTACACATATTTTCTAACAGTACACTGAAATCTGGAAGTAAAAAAAAATCAAAGGAACTTGGCAATGGGGTGCACACTAGTCAGGAGCCCTCGAGTTGAGACACGTTTATTAAGAGACAGCTTCCGGCTGTGGACAACAACTCTAACTTCAGCTCGATTTCTGCTGGAAAAACAGTTTGGGATCTTCCTATAACCCAGGATCGGGGAATGCAAGATGCACAGGTGGATGGGGAGCAAACATAACCCAGGGAATCATCCAAATATGCTAGAACCCCTATCAGGTGTCAACCCCCACAAAGACCCACAGCTGCAGGAGGCCAGGGGTACAGGCCTCCGAGAAACCTCAGTTCCTCTCCAATCTGCACATGTTATGTTAAAACTCACTATTACCCAATAGGTTACCCCATGGAATTCACAGGCATTGGAGCTCAAGTCCTGCCACAAACCCTTCAACATACAAACTGTAAGCACTTGCTACGGATGATACCAGGCCTATCTCCAAACCTCACAATATACCAGGGTGATTCTACAGGGGGAAAAAGGCATTTCAAAGAGTACTGCAAGATGCTTATTCACAACAACACACCGGAAGCGCAGGAACTTCAGCTCCCACACGCAATCTTTCCCCCTCCCTCCCCTCCCTCTCCACGGCACCCGTCAAGGCAATACTCAGCTCACTAGCAGGCCACCGTGACGAGCCGGTGTTCATTAAACAGATCACGGCGGGGCTGAACCCTTCTCAGCAAAATCTATTCCGAAAGCTCCACAAGCCCTCAGCAGCCAGTGAGAACTGTCCGGACCTGCTTCCCACCCCAGACAGGGCAGGAGCGTGTGAGTAAGAAACCTGAGGCCCCGTGGTTTGGGCAGGCCGACTGTCCCCCTCCCCCAAGTCTCCCCTCGCTCTCTCCCTTGTCACTTTTTCTGGAATAGCACCGGGGAAAACCAGAGAGGCCGGAGATGTCAGGCCCGCGAGGAGTAAGGAGAAGGAGCAAGGGCGGACGGGAGGCAGTTGGAGGGACAAACGAGTCCGGGGCCGAGGTGCGGTAGGGACGCATCTCGTGGAGAAGGACCCCTGAGGTGGGTCTGGAGGGAAGGGAGGGGAGGGGGAGTGGCTCGCGAAGGCCTGACGGCGGCGGCCGCAGAAAGCCGGGGAGAGCGGGATGCAGGGACGGAGGAGGGCGGGAGGGAGACGAGGTTGGGGGGCGGGGGCGCGGGTGGAGAGGCGAGGGGGCAGCCCGGTTCCCCTCCCCCAGCCCGGGCCCGGGCCTCCCGCTGACTCAGCCCCACGGCGTCGGTAGCCTAGACCCGGACTCACAGTGCGCGAGGCGGCTCCGACGGAGGCGGCGGAGTAGGGGACAGGCGGCGGGGGCGCTCCTACTGAGGCTGCGGCTCCAGCCGGCGGCTCCGGGGCCGAGGGTCCTAGCAGAGGCCGCCGCGGTCTCCGGCTTCAACGCACAGTGACTGCGGGGGACGGGAGCACTGCGCAGGCGCGATGCGGCCACGGCTGTCAGTCCGAGAGGGGCGGGGCCTGGGCACCCGCCGTCTCCAAGGCAACCAGGCGGCCAGGGAAGGACAGCCCCTACCTCCACCTTGTAGCAACGGCGGCGGGAGGTGGGGGGCGCCGAGAACAGTCCTTCTAGATTGCCATAGCAACAAGGAGAAGAACCAGTTTCAGAAATTTACCGCGGTACCGAGGGAACGGTCTTACCTTGTCACCATAGCAACCGGGAACAGCCCCTTCCTTTTTCCTTAGCAACAGGGTAACAATTCCTCCACCCAGCCTAACTAATCACAGAAGAAACAACCCTTTACAGCTGATTCCATAGTAGCCAGATGACGGATTCCTATCTGTCTCACAACTACTGCAAAGGAGAAAGTGGAGAATATTTCTTCTTTCAACAACACGAGAGCTAAGGCTAGGTATTATCTCCACTTTTGGTTTATGGCTTTGAATCACTGCCTGTTACGCTAATTCCCAAATTCAATTTTCCGCTGCTTGTATTAAATGTTTCTTATTTCCTACCAGAAAGTCTATACCTTTACTCCTAAATCAAGCTAAGAAACAACCTTATTGTTTCTCTCCCAATGCATTTGTAAACAGTTCTTGTTTCTTCATCTTGCCCACTAGCTGGTTCAGATTCTACCTCTTTGCAACCAGCTCCCTGGTTAATCGGTTCATTGGTGTTCCCGAATTCCCAAGTCCAAGTCTGCTTTTACTGCTCTCCCCAGCTCTTCTAGATCCCTCCTCTTCCTGTCCATGCCCACTGTTACTGTCCTTCAGTGTCCTGCTCAGTGTGCCACTCTGCTCACCCCCTTTCCAGTTCTTTGTGTGGATGACTTCTGGCTCTCCCTCCTTCAGCTCCGACTTCCACAGATGTAAAGAAGTCACCTCTGTACTCAAGTTCTATAGTATTGTCTTTGGCTTACAGTCTATCCCCAGTCAGACTATGTGCCCCTTGTGGACAGGACTTCTGTGGTCAGCATCTGGGGCACAGACTGGAACATACAGTGGAGTTCCAATAAGTGTTTATGTAACTGAATCAAGTGAAGACAAAGATCTTTCTTCAAAGATTCTTCAAACACTTTCTTTGGCCCCAGAGAAATGGGTGAAGGGGGTCAAAAGGTAAAAAGAAAAAGAAAGATTTTCATTCTTCCTTACTTTCTCTGACCTAACTGCCCTCGAGTCTCAATTAACATGTTCCTTGTAATTACACTTACTTAATCTTTAAGCACTGCTGCTACTATTGTAACTCTCTCACTTCCTTAGCTCTCCATCTTAATGCCCAAACTCTAGTCATCTATTAATTGAGACTCTGGCATTCCTGATTTCCGGAGTCCTCACCTCTAGCTAGTCTCCCTTCTGCAATATCCCAAATGCTTCCACTAAAGTCAATTTCCTCACTGGGTACTGACCTCCTCCACGATTCCTGCCACCTTCTATAATGAGTAGCCTCTTCATACCTTACCATTCTATTGCTTCCTAACCCAGCTTGGATGGAGCCCTTTGGGTGATCATCACTGGATTCTGCTGGGCTTGTTGAAATGCTGGAGACGCTGCATTCTCTTGGAATGACTCAGAACTAAGAATTCATAGGCCAGCATTCTTCCCCATGCCTCCCTGTCTAGCTCTCGGGGGTTCCACCCCAGGAATATTGGTGTCCGTGGGCTCTGACTGAGCTTACTTCCTCAGGGGAGAAGATGACAGTTAATTACAAATAGAGTTAAAAAAAAGAGAGGGACATAGTCTACACTGACTCAAGTTCCTCTCCTCCCACCCAAGGCAACTCCCAGAAAGGGGAGGGTTCCTTACACAGGATATTTCCCAGGACAAATCCAGGGGTTAGGAGAGTGAAAACCCAGGGCACACTTCTTCTTAGCCACAGAGCTGGAGAACTGAAGGTGTTCCTAAATGTACCTACAGGGCATCTGGGTGCGATAGAGACACGGGAAATTTCAGACTCAGTTTACTTTGCTTGTCCATTCTGAAGTGCCAGCTCAGCCTCATGGTTGTAGGTGTAGACGTGGGTGGTGTAGACTGTGCTGAGGAATCCCAAGGAGAGACTGTGATCCTGGTAACTCCACCAGTCACCACCCATGGGATAGGAGACCATTCCTGCATACACTTCGCCTAAGTTCTCCGCACATCAACATTTTGCCATGTGCCGGTTAAGCTATTGCTACAGAATAGTTCACTCCAACTTAGTGGTTTAAAACAACCACCATCTTATTATCTCTGTTTCTGTGGGACGGGAATTCAGGAAGAGCTTGGCTGGTTGGTTTGGCGTCCCTTTTTATAACAGCCTCAGATATCCCTTCGGTCCTCTCCTATTGGTTGAGAAAACCCATAAAAGACTAATATCAAGGGGAGGAAACACAGACCTCATCTCTCAACGAGAGGAATATCCGTGCCACCTAAGAGCATGTGGATGGGAGATACTGTTGCAGTCGTGTTTGGAAAACAGGATCTGCCAGGCTCTACACTCTGGTGACGCCAGTTCGCACCCACTCATCCCCTCCCTCAAGACACCCCAAGTCTCGTCCCATAACACCATCGACTTGAAGTCCAGGATCTCACCATCTAACTCAGGTCCCAGTGTGGATAGGGCTCCTCAGGCCCAGCTCCTTGGCTCCAACTCCTTGAGTACCAGTCCTGTTGATCTGAAGGCTTGTGAAGTAAAGAGATGTCCCTTGCCCTGTGCACACCTAGCATATTCTGGTGGCACAGACAGGATAATGGCTGCAGACATCATAATTTCAAAGACAGTAAAAGCAGCATGCACCACAGCAGTCCCTAGTCCACGGCAGTTCTCAGACTCAGCCAGGCACGCTGCTGCCAGGGCCTGGTTTAGCGCTCGGACCCAATGGCCGTTTATTTCTTTTATTTTGGTGTTGACATGGATTCACCCCCGCCCAGTTGGTTATGATCCTTTCCAATGATTACTTGTTCTGATGCGCAATTTGTCACAGATTTGGCCAGTGAAAGAAACTTCAAGCTCCTGGGTCCTTTGGATTTGCTCCTATCATGCTTTGAACATTTCCTTGCTTCCTGGCACAAGATGTCTCAGGCTCATCTTGTCCCCTCCCTGCCCCAGCCCTGGAATTGGCCACTCCCCAGGGAGCCACGGGTCCTCCTGACTTCTTGACATTCTTTTTTTTTTTTTCATTTTCCCTTGCTCCCTAAATCTTCCCTTAAACAATGATGGTTCCCAGGGTTCCCATCTCAGTTTATTCTCTATTCCCTTCATTGACACTCTATCTGTGGCCCCCTTTACTACCATGTCTCTGGATCTGTGAGTCCATTCCAATCAGTCCTTCCAACTGTCAGACCGGTATACGTAACTGCCCTCTAGACATGCCCGGCCCTGTGTCCCTCAGGAATCTCCAACTCAGCAGGCATAAACTCACTTACCCTTCCCCGCAAAGCCTGCTTTTCTTATCTTTCTTATTACTTGTAATGGCATCACTATCCAAGAAAAACTTGAGGGAGATCCTAACCCGTATCTTCTCACCAATGCCCTGTAACAGAACAGTCTTCCAGTACCTTATTATCTCTCCACATGTATGTCAGCCACACAGGGCAAGCCCTCGCAGTGGCCGAGCAGGCAGTTCTGTTTTGCGGCTGAGCCTGCCTGACCGGGTTCACCCTGCTTGGAGTCTCTCCTTTTCCTGCATTGGGAAAACTCCTACTCATTCTCCAAAACCAGCCTTAGAGTCATCTCGGTGACACCACCATGGACCTCCTCCAGAGAGTTAACACGCTGTCTTTGGCACCAGATACTTTCTTTATCATGGTTCCCACCACCTGGCGTTAACATGTTGTTCACATCTCTCCCCACCAGAGGTCCTCACACTCAAAGAGTATCTTATTCAGCACCTCACGTGGGCCTGAAAACAGCCAAGCAAGTTAAAAACGATCTGACCTTTCTGTATTTTTCCCAGGGTGATTGGGGAGGCCAGGTGGTGGAGGGAGTAGAAGAAAGTGGGTTAACTCTGGCCGGTGAGGGTGTAGATTTTAGATCAGAACCCGCAGGGCAGTCCTGCCCAGGTGTGAGCTGGAGGCAGGGCAGAGCTGTGATGCTGGTAACTGTTAACCACAGTGTTCATTATTCATTTGAAAGTAGCTGAAAGTGGAACAGGGCACTCAAAGAGGACTGATGCCTACACACAGGAGACCCTGGCTTGGTTTTAAAGTGTACGAGGACTTGTGTAAGCAATGTGTAGTTTTACTGAGGAATGCATTTTCATCACACGACTTGCCGAAAGTGAGCCCTTATCTAGAGAGTGAATCTAACCCTCCACCCATTGGGTCCAATGCTTCCTGGTTATGTGACCTTGGGCCTTGGCTTTTCTCATGTGCTGCGATGGTTAAATGTGATAATACACGAAAAACGCCCAGCAGTGTCTCGTACACAGCGAATACCCAATAAATGGTAATTCTCAGTAATAACTGAAACTCTCATTAGGGTCAAGAGGTCACTTGATTTTCCTTCTCAGGTGTACTCTGCTTCACTATATAGGAAGAAATATGCAAACTTGGAATTTGCAAAGGGCTTAAGACAAACCTCCTGTGAATGTTAATGACCTACTGTGTTCAGAAGGAACAGCACCTCCTGCCGGTGGCTTGGATTGCGAGAAGCTACCCTGCTTTTTGTGGAAGACACCCACCATGATGGTGAGGTGGGTGGTTGGGGCCTGGATTAACTTGGATGAGTTCATGGTGGCCACAGGGTCCCAGGACCCTTCTCTTTCACCCCTCTCAGGCTTCGCATCAGCACCAGCTGCTCCGGCTGCTCAGTGGGCACAAATAGTGCCTCTCTTCCTAGTGATGACCAACTCGAATGTCAAGGCCAACTCATGCAAAGGCAGCATCAGACAGTGGTTAGGAGTATGGGCTAGGGTGCTGCATGGACTTGAGATGAAATACTAACTCCGTTACTCACTTGGCCTGTGGCATGCAATTTAACTCAGTTTCTTCATCTGTAAAGTGAGAATAATAATAGTACAAACCTCAGAGAATTAATATAATGATTAAATGGGATCATGTTCATCAGGTGCTTTGGACAACACTTGGCATGTTGTGGGCGTTCAGTAAACAGTACTGGCTAGTATTCTTAAAGCGAAGTGTTACATTCTGTGTATACATCTTCCCAAAGCAGGTGAAGTTCATTGCTCCCGTGGCAATTTTAATTGTCTCTCTCCCATGATATTTCTTATTTATAAAGGGAAAACTAGCATTCATTCAGCTCCCACTACAGCCAGGCATGAAATGCACACCATTTTCTATAACCTCCCTGGTCACCTCCTGAGGCTGGCATCATTTCCATGTTCACAATTAGAAGCAGAGGCTCTGAGAGGTTAACTCACTTGCCTAAGATCACACAGCTAGTGAACATCAGAAGAAGGGTTTGAACCTAAAGCCAAACTTCTTCCCTTATCCCATGCTATCTTCACTTTCTGTACTGTATTTGTCAATGTGTCTTTCCCCCAAACTAGTCTAAACGCAGGAGCTGCACTTGACTCATCTTTGTACGACCTAACGCATGCCTGACAGATATCCTATCAGCATACATTAAATGGAAGGTGGAAAACATATAAGTAAACACCAAATACAGTTTCCAAATCAATTAAGATGCTGAGTTCAATTTACATTGAAGTAATTAACAAATAATTTTTATTTTTTAAAATTGAGAGGGGTGAGAGAGAGAGAAGGGGGAGAGAAAGAGAAACATCTATTTGTTATTCCTGTTATTTATGCATTCATTTGTTGATTCTTGTATGTGCTCTGACTGGGAATCAGACCTGAAATCTTGGTGTGTTGGGGATAATTTTAGAATTATCTAAAATTCTTATTTAACAGAGCATCCTTTATTTTTTAAAGGTTTTATTTTTTAATTTGTTTTTAGAGGGGAAGGGAGAGAGAAAGAGAGGGAAAGAAACATCCGTGTGCGGTCGTCTCTTGTGCGCCCCATACCAGGGAACCTGGCCCACAACCTAAGCATGTGTGGGACAGGAACCAAACCAGCAACCCCCTGCCTCACAAGCCGGAACTCCATCCACTTAGCCACACTGGCCAGGGCGTATCCTGTATTCTTGTTGGCTAAATGTGACAACCTGGAGATAGGCCTCGCAAAGGACAACTTCCCCAGGGGTTCTCTTGGTACAAGAAAGAAAGGCTGCTATGGCCTCCGATTCACACTCAAGGCTGACCAGATCCTGAGCTGATGTGGGGAGCTGGGATTGAGAACATGGTAACCTAACATACCTGCTTTTCTTGGGCTTTAACCGGTTCACGGGCAAGTTTTAGGGTCAAAGAAGTAGCCATTGACGATCTTAAAGCGCCATCTGGAGGCCTTTCTGGGTAGTACAGTGGTCAGGGGCCATCTCAGCCACCCAAAACTTTGAGAAGCAAAGCAAGGTCAAACAAGGAAGAGAGAGGGTAGGAGAGGAGGCCAGTCTGGAGACAGGCATGGGAGTGTACACCTTCCTGAACTTTCAGTTTCCAGCTGCTGCTCTGGCTGCCTGGGAACTGAAGGCATGGGCTCTCCGAAGGAGGGCATTGCTCAGGGCTTCCCTTTCCCAAGACCTGCCTTTCCAGCTGTTCCCCAGGCCTTGCAGTTGCCTGAACCATTTTACATTCCCACCAGCAGTGCATGAGGGTTCCAATTTTCCATGTCCTTGGGAATGCAAGTTCTTATCTCTCTTTTTGATGATTACCATCCTAGTGGCTGTGAAGTGAAATCCCATTGTGGTTTTGATTTGCATCTTCCTAGTGATGAATGATGTTGAACTTCTTTCAAGGCTTATTGGCTGTTTGTAAATCTTTGGAGAAATGCTTGTTCAGATCTTTTGCCCATTTTAAATTGAGTTATTTATCTCTTTTATTATTGAGTCATAAGAGTTGCTTATATATTCCAGATACAAATCCCTTATCAGGTCTATGATTTGCAAATATTTCCTCCCATTTTGTGGGTTGTCATGTTGCTTTCTTGATAGTGTCCTTTGAAGCACAAAGGACACTATGTTTTAAATTCTGATGAAGCCAAACTGATCTAGTTTTTCTTTTGTTGTTCATGTTTTTTTCCATCATATCTATTAATTCATTGCCAAATCCGAGGTTATAAAGATTTACCCCTGTGTTTTTTTCCTAAGAGTTTTAAAGTTTTAGATCTCACATGTAAGTCTTTGATCTGTTTTGAGTTAATTTTCTATTTTATTTGTTTATTTTTATTTTAATTGTTGTTCAAGTACAGTTTTCTGTTTTGAGTTAATTTTTATATGTGTGTGAGGTAAAGTTCCAGTTTTATTCTTTTGCATGTAGATGTCTAGTTGTTCAAACACCATTTGTTAAAAACTAATTTTACCGATTAAATAAATCATCTTGGCGTCTTGGTCAAAAGTGAGCTGACCATGGACACATTTTTAAAAAATGACTTTCAGTTCTCTGCAGTTGCTCCGTATGTCGATCCTCACGCCAGTACTGCTCAGCACTGTTTTGATTATTGTTGCTTTTTAAAATCAGGAAGTCTGATCCCTCCAACTTCATTGCCTTTCTCTCTGTCCATTCTGCAGGTCCACGGTCTGCCCTTCGTCCTCCCCTCTCTTGTGGATCCAAGAACCATTGTTGATTTTTCAGCCTGTTCAGTTCTTTGCTTGTTGTTAGGACGGAGCAGAGACGTCCAAACTCCTTACACGCAGTACGGGAAAGTGTCGTAAGCACTTCACGGTATACCCGTTACACTCAACGTAAAGCATTTGAATTGAGAAAAAAGATACGCCTCTAGTATTTTACTGGACAAACACTGTGGTTCTTTTCAGATGTGTATTTTGTCACTCTTTCAAGCAGACTTTTTGAATTTTGCTTATAACCATAACGTCCACTCTCCTTCCCCAGCTGACTGTCTGGAGATTTTCTTCTTTCCCCTTCCTGGGTTTTAAAAAGCCCCCTCCTCTACTGGCCACGAGCCATTTCCTGGAAAGGGTCCTCATTTATACCCACAGGGATAAAAAAGCCTGTCCTTTCCATCCTTAAGGAATAGACATGTGACAGTCACCGAGTTGCCACCTCCTGAGGCTCTCTTCCTTCCCGCATGCAGATTCTCAGTAAATGGCAAAACTTAACTTTAAATTCTGCACCTGTGGTCTTTTGGTTTGGGGCAACATTTTAAGATAATTGTGGCAGAATGTGGCACAACACGGAGCCCGATGACGGTGGCAGAGGATGGCTGGATGAGGCCCCAGTGCACACGTGGGGAGACCTACTAATGTCCCACTCTCCAGGCATCTTCCGTGCCTCCCTTCTGCTGCCTGGGATGCTGCGGTTCTGCCCCACCCTCCGGTGGTTTTACTTCAAAAAGCTTTGCCACATAAGGTAGGCATTGACATTTTGATGGGATAATTTTTATTGAGTGTGTGTTGGGGGGAAGCTGTCCTCTGCATTGTAGGATGTTTTAGCAACATCCCTGGCCCCTGCCCACCACATTCTGTAGCACCCACCGACCTAGTTTTGACAACCAGAAGTTGTGTCCAGACATAGCCAAGCATCTCGTGGGAGAGGAAACCCGCCCTGGCTGAGAGCCGTTGGGCTGCTCTGACTTAGTGGGTCATCTCAGCTCCAGGGTTCAGAAGGGAGCTCCTAGACATGGTTTGGACATCGTGAATCCCAATCTACTAAAAGTTGTTTAAAAATTGGAAACAGTATAGCAGAGGTGTCCGAGATTACAACCTCAGCCCAATCGTTCCTGTAACCGTGATGCCAGATGAAGGTGTGGTCGCTCTGAAAAAGTGAGAATTACAAAAGCAAAGCAAAATCTCTTCACAGCTTCTCGTACAGATGGATACCCAGGAGAAAAGACCATTTCTGTGGACATCAAGTAAAAACTGTAAAGTGCTCCCAAAGCATAAGCCCAAATCCTCACAATTTAGACAAGATTACGGCCTTGACTGTCCACCAGACCGCACCGGGGAAAATTCAACCATGAAGTCCTGGCCATTGGAAAATCGAGTGCTTCCCAGACCTCAGCAACCCCCACATGGGGCCCCTGGTCCTCAGACACCCTGGAGGGTTCCTGCAGATTTCTCCTTCTGTGGACACCAGTTCTGTCGGAGCACTCCGGGACAGGGACAGGGCCTCCGGACCCTGCCACTGAAATCTCCTTTCCCTGAGGGCTCAACAAGCCACAGTCCTCCCTCACAGATGGTGCTCCCCCCCCTCCACTCCGGCTCCCACGGTGGCAGAGGGTTCGAAGGCCAACCCCAGGAGAAGATTAGTACACTAAGACCTGCTCCAGTGTCTTGAAACGTGGCATCTTTGGAGCTGACCGAAAGGGAACAGCTGACTGCAAGGTAAGCCTGGACTGCAGAACCTCAGAGGCCAGTTCAAAACCAAGAATCTAATAAAGCAAGAGGCGCTGGATAGATGCTGACATTTAAATATGCGTAACTGCAAGCGACTGTTTTTCATTGTGAGGCAATCTTTGATTTATAGAATTTGTTTCCCCCCACACGGGCTCAGAGAGCTGTAATTCGCAGAACATGTTGCTCATCTGTAGACACAAAAATAGTGAAGCTCGGGGTCTCCAGAATGATTGTTTACTGTTAATAGTAAACATGTGAAGAATTTGCATTTCAAGGGAAATAGTCAACACATTTGTGTGATTCAAGCCGGAAAGCGGGCGCGACAGCTTGAGTGTATTTGTGTAAAGCTAAAAACATTTAATTAAGAGATCAGTGTTACAGAGTGGAAATAAAGAGTGTGTGTGCAAAAATGCCTAATTTTGACCCACGTGTAAAGAGCATTTTAGATATAACCTTAAGAGCTTGCGCTTATGTGAGTATCTCTTAACCCTGTGGCATTCTAAGGTACTGGTATCTTCTCGCTCTCTCATTAAAAAATGAAAGATTTTACAGCTGATACTGAATTTGAAAAAGTTTCTAACTGGGGGAGTCATTTAGCACACATCCACAAAATTTAGTACAACACATAATATGAGATACGTAGATATATGTGTTTAGCTGCTCAAGGAAATTGCATATTATAGTAAGAGAACCGTGTAGCTCACGAAAGGGAATAATGCTACCCCAGACTTTACCCAGGCGATCAAAGTCAACTTCAGTGGTGACAAATCATGTTGATATACAAAATGTACCATAAACGTAATGTGGTGAAAAGAATGCTTCTGTGGCCTTCCTCCTAAAAATTCATTGACACCAACCAGCTTAATTTTATTTGTTTGTTTGTTTTGAGAGAAACTGCAGTCAAGTTCCAAGAGAGGAACATTCTACAAAATACCTAATACTCCCCCAAAACATCACGGTCATCAAAAACAAGGGAAGTTTGAGAACTGTCAAAGCCAAAGGGAACCGAGGAGACCTGCTGACTGGACAAGGCGTTCTGGATGGGGTTCTGGAATAGAAAAAGGACATTCGGTAAAAGCTAAGGGCATTGGAAGACAGTGTGAATTTTAGTTCATGAAAGCGTATCAATACTGGTTCATCGGCTGCAATGAAGGCGCCACACTGATGTCAGGTGTCAATCATGGGGGGAGCTGGGGACTGCAGAGAGTGTGTGGGAACTCTCAGAATTATCATTTCAAGTTTTCTGTAAAGTCAAAATTGGTTCTAAAAAAGTCTATTAAAAAAAAAACTATGCAAGGACTGAATTAAGGTAAAGTTTAAGGAAACCTTAAATGCAAAGGATTTAATTTGTTCAAAGACTTTTGAAGGAGGCAGAATCCATTCGGCTGGAACTTGCATGTAAATCTTGCACTAAGAGCCATGCGGCTGTTGTGCACGGCCCAGACGGTGGCACAGTGAGACTCCGGGTCCTGACTTTGGAGGGTTGAGCCACGTGAGTGGAGCCAGACAGCAGCTCTTCCCTGCAGCCTGTAGGAGGGGAGTCCCCACGGGGACAACACTCAGAGCTAAAGCCCGTGAGGACTAAGACCTGGCAGAAAGTACAGAATCGAGGAAATAAAGATTTTACATAACCAACACCATAGTGTTAATATGTTTGTAGTAAGAGAGAATGTGGCCCTGGCTGAGTGGCTCAGTTATTGGAGCATTGTCCTCTACATCAAAAGGTTGTGGGTTCGGTCCCTGGTCAGGGCACATACAAGACTCAATCAAAGAATACTTCAATATGTGGAATGACAAACTGATGTTTCTCTTTCTCTCTTTCTCTCTCTGCTCCCTTTTCTCTCTCCCTAAAAATCAATTTTAAAAATTAAAAAAGAGAGAGGATCTGTACATATTTGGTATTTTATATATGTGTTAAAGAAACTTTTGGCTTATTAGAGTGAGTGCCTCATGACTAATTTTAAATGTGTAACTTAAAACTTACGACTTTAAGTTGAAATCTTACTAATTTGTATGCTTAGCAGTGAAACATCCAACAAACCCCTAAGCTCACTATATTTATAAGCTTAATTTATTAGATTGGTAATAATTATTTAGTATTCAGGAAAGATACTAAAAAAAGAATTTTAAATATTGTTTAAAATGTAAAGTGTTTAATTAAGTTTATAAGTGGGATCAAAGTTCCCTTAACAAGAAATGACAACTTGGTAGGCTTACAACTTAAAAAAAAAGACTTCATTTATTTATTTGTTAGAGGGAAAGGGAGAGAGAGAGGTGGAGAAACATCAGTGTGTGGTTGCCTCTCATGTGGCCCCCACTGGGAACCCAGCCTGCAACCCAGGCATGTGCCCTGATTGGGAAATGAACCGATGACCCTCTGGTTTGCAGCCTGCACTCAATCCACTGAGCTACACCAGCCAGGGCACAACTTTTCATTGAACAGTAAGGTCTATAAGCTAAACTGAAAAGCTCAGGAACATGCTCCCAGGCGCACCACCCCACGGCACCCACAGCCCCGAGAGCTCACGAAGCCTCCGAGAGCCGTGTGGAGACTCAGGGCTGGTCCCAGGAAACCCTTGTCCCCACCCATTCCAGAAAGACCCACTTTCCCCACCGCCCCTCATCTCTCAGTGATGGAAAATTGTAACTCCTGGGCAGGTGTGTTAACAGTCTAATGAATACATAGGTGCATATAAGGTGGTCATAACATCTGTTATCCAAACCAGGACATGGTTGAAAGTGAAAGGTGACACCATTAATAACTGTTCTAGGGCAATAGACTTAAACCAGAACTGTCCTGGGCACACCAGGGAAAGCTGCCTTCAGCTCTATATGTGTGGTTTGCAAATACACAAGGGGAAGAAAGTGAAGAACCCGACTTCCATCCTAAGACCATGTCAAACGTCAACAAAATGTTAGATTTTTTTAATGTTTTACTGGAAAAGTACTAGGAGTTCTTCAACTGTGTTATTAGCAACACTGTCAAAGAGCCTTTTATTAACCTAGGACTACATGCCTACCCTCCCTGTGTGGCACAATGTTTCTCCTTCTTCCTGGGGTGTCTCGAGACCATCCCTCCAACCCTGGCTACAAAGCACTTCTTAGTGTTGGGTTGGACCTGTGTGTAAAAACCAACCTATAATTCTGAGTGAAGAAATGAAGGGCGATGGTTGCCTAGCAGCTGGCTGGTTCCGGTTTCCCGAAATGCAGATTCTCAGACTTTGACAGAGCTGTATTTTACTGTCTGTGATCTTTTCTTTCTCTACTACTGCATACAAAGGCATTAAGTGTGTTCCTGGGTACCTTTTATTTTTTCTCTATGTCACCTGCGACTGTGCAACGTGGCCTACCAAATGCGGGCTCACGGCATTTTTCATCTGAACACAATGGATTTTTGGCAGTTCATCAAATTCTAGCACGCCTCCGCGTTAGGGGGAAACAGTGACACAGATGCTTTGGCTCAGTATCATCCCAGAGCCCCCGCATCCTGCAAGCCAGGTACGGGTGCTTCCATCTGGCTCAGGAACCCCACCAGGGCCTGTGCACACAGCTCGTTTCGTTACAACCCAGTGCTTCGCCCTAACAGCGGGACTCCGGGTGTTTCTTTGTCCTCATCCTGCCTTACTTGCAGGAAGGTCGCTGCTTTGCTGAGAGCTGGGGAAGTCCCCCTGCCCCAACCATTTCCCTGCACTGCCTAAAACCCCCTCACTAGGGTTTTGTCTTTTGGGGCTAATGGAATAAGTTCAAGTGAGTCTACAGCACTGGAAGCAACAATTTCGCTCACTCCTTAGTGTGAAATTGTTTGAGCAGCTCACTCCTCCCAACTTCTGGCTGAGACCTGAAAAGGGCGGAGTCTTGACGTAGGTGGGTGGGGCTTGCAGGTACCGTTGGCCAATCCAAAGGTGAGGCTCTGGAGAGTCAGAGAACAGCCTGAAGATCCGACGCACTGGCCTTGGGACGTCTTTTGCCATATCATTTTTGCAAGTCCATAGTCCCAATACCCAAAGGGCCCGCTGCGGGAAGAGGGTTTCCAAAGTAGTAGCTGTGAGAACAGGTGACATGCTTCCCCCTAACTGTCCGTTTCAGATAACTCAGTACCCTTGTCCTGGGAAACGTGGCACCACAAACCTTGGCATTGTTCCCATTAGGTGACAGGACTGACTGAGCTTCTGGGCTGCTGAGCCTCCCATCTCTCAACTTTTTTTTAAACCTGCAGACCCTGCTCAGCACCCCCACTCTCCAGAACCTGCCGCCTGCTAACATGGGCATGAAAAACCGAAGCTGAGTCTTCTTAGTACCTTCAGCGCCACCCCAGCTACTGCAGAAGAGGTCTCTGCCAAACCCCCTCTTCCTTGAAGAAACACAACTGAGACCAAGTGAGAAGTAGCTACAGTTTAATACAAACCTGCACCAGAACACGATGTGTCGGGCTGTTTTGTGGTTTTTTGTTTTTGTTTTTTGCCTCAAATGGGGGGCCAAAGCACAGGACCATGTGTTGTCTTGGGATTCACACAATCTTAGCACCATGACTTTTACAGAGGAGTGAGGAAGTCACTTGGGTGCTGGGAGGCTGGAGGCTCTGTCCCGACCCCAGGCTGTGCCTGCCACCTGGGCAGCTGGAGAGGGTTGGGTTTCTGCGTGGTTCTGTGGTTTCTGGGTCAGTATGGGGAAAGCCCTCATCACGGCATTGGCTTGACAGAGACCTACCGTGGACTCCTAGCACTACACACACACACATACACACACACACACAGTAGCACAATCTTCTGTAACTTAACCCCACAAATCTAGAGAGCAGCTAAGGCAAGAACGACAGTATTTATTCAGCAAGTACAAGACCAGTTTGAGAGCTGCATTCAGTGCAACCAGAGACCCTTTCATTCCAAGCAGGGAGGAGCCAGCTGTGCTGGAGGCGGAGCTGGCAGGGGCTCTGCACTGGGGCAAGGAGCGGGTGGTGGGGGCTGGCCATTTATTTGGTTCCTCGAACCTCCCTCTGATTTTCACCACGAAGCTCCTGGGCGAGGGCGGGGTCTGCATAAGGATGGGGGTGGATGGAGTGGAAGGCTGCGGTGGACCACTCCCAGGCCGTGCGTCTCTACGGTGGAGGCACTCGGAGGAGGTAAAGCTTTCCCAGCCCAAGCAGGGACGCCCTGCCCGTGGGCCACCACCACTGCTTGGCTCTTTGGCATCTGCCCAAGGCCCATGACCCAGCAAGGGCTGAAAGAGAGAAAGATGGTGTGCACTGTGCCATGGGGTCAGCGTCATGGTGTCCCAGGCCCAGACCCCGGCGTCTGCCCCCATGGCTGCCACCCTCTGTGAATGCCTTTGCTATCTCTGCTCCCTGGGTTACGGTCTCTGTCATCTCAGCCCCAAAATGAGGAAGATGAGTGTGAAGTGACAAGTAAGGGTGTGGAGGCAGCTCAACCCACAGGGCAAACCCCCAACATGGAACTAGTTCTGGCTCAGACAGTGAAGATGCATTAGTTCGTTCATGACAAAAACCTACCTATCTGTGCAAAACAAAGCAAAATGCCTACCAGGGTGGTAAGTCTCCTAAGTGGCTACACTCTCGGTAGGATCTACAAGGGCCGTCCTCCCACTCTTCCTTTTTACAGCTGGGGCAGACAGCCACGCTCCGAAGGGTAGTCATGGACACCTCTGGGGTCAGAAGGCCTAGCCTTCCTGTGCCTCATCTTTGAAACAGGGAGAATAACACATGCCGTGCTGTGAGAAGCAATGGAGAGCTCGTGGATGGAAGTGCTTTGAAAATATGAGAAGCACAATAGAAATGTTCAGGGCACGACCACTAGCCCAAGAGCCCAGCAGCCTCGTGCTGCCTGGGGCGCTCACAGGGAACGCATGGTAAGTCGCTTCCTGAGGGGAGGACGAGGCTTCACAAGGGCCGGCAGCTGGGTCACTTCCCAGTTCGCTCAGGGTGGACGGAGTTCACCCAGTCCCTAGTGTTTCCATGGAAAGCCCCTGGAGCTTTGAAGGCAGAGAGGGCCCGGCTGGATGTGGGACGAGGTGGTGGCCACGGCAGGTGCTGAACACAGGAGACTGGAGCCCCCCTGCAGCAGTGTGGGTTTTACAGTCAGGTCCTGCTGGCCTGGTCTACTTCCCGGGCACGGGCAGGTCCCCTTCCCCTCGCCAGCTCCCCCTCTCTTAGCAGGCACCAGGCGGCTTGCCAATCACACAGGAGGAGCAGCCAGGCCTCTCTGTCCCCTGTAGGGGGGAGTTTACAGGAAGCTGGGTGACTGGGGGCATTACTGCTGGGAGTGATCAGGGCCAGAGAAGGGCAAAGGTCTTCTCACTCCCCAAAGGTCCCCAGGGCCAGCATCCTGGGCACCCTGTCAGAATGTAGGGAATTAGACTGGGAGGGAGAGGGGTAGGAATAGGGCCTGGGGCAGAGCCAGTGCAGCCTGGAAGACTCCTGTGTGGAGAAGAAGGACCTGCAAGTCTAGCGTCCTCCCCGACCCATGCTCCAGCCCGTCTGGTCAGTGTCGAGTGCAGCGTCTCATAAGGTCCACATCTATTCCTGTTTCTATGCTATGCTAGTGACACGAAGCACCGTTATTTCTCACGGGATGCACAAACAAGTTGAACCAAACCACGGCGCAAACCAAACGTGCAAAACAAATCATGTACACTCTCCCGGCACCAGCCTGGCACCCCACCCAGCTAGCTCTTCTGGGCGAGACTCGAGGAGGGCGGGGTGGGAGGAGAAAGAAGCTGGCAAAGGGCGCAGAGTGTCCCAACCACACCCACACCCAGGGTGTCCCAACCGCATCCACACAGGGCTGGAGTCCAGTCAGGAAAACCGGGATATTCTGGGCATGGCTGGGCAGCCAACACCTATCTCCCTTGAGAAAGGTGACCCTGGGGCCTATGGGGATGTGGAAGGGAGTCCTTTTAAAGCACATCTACTAAAGTGCTCTGGACAACTGGCGGGTCAGCCAGGGGCAGGGCACTGCAGCCTGGGCCTTCCCGAAGCCAGCGTGTGGGGGCGAGGGTGAGAGGAGGGGCTGGGCCGGGCTCTATGCGTTGGGCTCTGTGCATAGTGTGGGCTTCCTAGGCCCCACGAGGCAGGGCAGGGAAGGACTGCAGCAGGAGGAACACATCTCATCTCAAAGTGCCTGTTAGGGTCGGCTCGAAGCACAGTGAATGGTGTGTCAGACGTGGGGAGGGCTCCTGGGTCCTGCGGCCCCTCAGGTGGTGAGCTGCCCAGCCCAGCCTCTCCCGCCCCTGCAGCTGCGGCTGGAGGGTGTGCGGGCTGGTGGCAGCGGTGCATCCTCACTTTCGGGGGCTGGTTGGTGCCTTTACCAGATGCCGCTCGACCTGCCTCCAGGGGGAGCAAGGATTCGAGCCGAAGCTCGCTTTGGAACATGGTCATCGATCTGAGAGCCTGCAGGGAAGGAAGCAGAGGGTGAGCTGGGCTGCTCCCTCCTGAGTCACAGAAGCAGGGCCTCCTCTACTGGTGGGGGCTGGTGGGCCCTCCATGTGTGTGGTCTCCTTCAGTCCTGGGACAACCTCACCCCATTTTACAGACAAGGAAACAGGCTCGGGGAGGTTAAGTAGCTTGTCTGTTACAGTGCGTGAACAGCAGAGTCTGGATTTGAATCCAGGTCTTCCTGATTTAGATCCTCCATGATTAACTGCCTTACCATGCCACCTTCACTGCTCCCAAACTTGGACATACGGTCTCTTGCCAGGAATTCAAACTATGGATTGACCTGTTAGCAAGTGGGCCTTTATCCATATGCCTCGGGAAATAAGAGAGAAAGAAGGGAGGTCCCATTGCTTTGGAAAACCAAAGAAGCACACTCCAAAGGTCCCCACATCTTGAAATTCTGAGACTTACTTAGAAGAGGAGGCCTGGTCCCTCAGGGAGCGCAGTGGGACAGCCTTCAGCCTGTCCCATCCTGAACAGACAAGGTTTGGGGCAGAGGGAAGGTGGGAGGCTGCCTAATGTTGGCCGAGCCTGAGAGCTCTGGCCAGTCCTTGCTCTGCCCCGAGACCTGGGTTGGGGGCAGAAGCAGCCAATGGCCAGCGGGGCCCACGGCTCTGGGTGCCATGCCCAGGCAGCCAGGGGAATCCACACCTCCTGGATTGCCAAGGCTGAGTGCCCACGGACACTCCACACCATGGATCTCTCTGACTCCGGCACTCATGTCCTGTTGCTGGTGGGAGTGGTAATGACCCTCAGGGTTGGGGAGCAGTTATCTCAGTATTGAGAGGAAGAGGAGTGGCGAAGAGGACCGCTCCCCACAGGCTATGGGGTCCTCAAACAGGAACCATGGGATGCCTGCCCGGAGCTGCCCTGAGCACACAGCTGGCCACAGAGGGGGCTCAGCCTGCAGCCCCCGGGTTAGTCCCTGTCTCTCGGGTAAGGAGGGTTTGTATGCAGGTCTTGTGCCACACACCCTGCCCTGCCCCGCCCCACCCCCAGGGAAGCACCAGGCTCCCAGTGGATCTGGTTCCTGTTGCAGTTCCGCCCAGGACAGCACTGGCAGAGCAGACGGATGCTGGGGCTGCACCTGGGCGAGTCCTGAAGGCTGTTCAGGGAGGTCTGCCCCCGCCCTTCCAAGTGCTGTCCATTTCTATCAAAGTGCCTGCAGGACCAGCTTGTTCTCCATTGAAGGTTACCTTGGGGCAGTACCTTGGGGCAGTACCTTGGGGATGAAGGTTAAGGGAGTACGGTCCACTCCCTTAACCTTCATCTATTCATTCGGCAGTGACCCTGCCCCCCGACCCCCCTTAACTACTACAGAAGGCCTGGGATTCCAGCTGACAGGAAATTTCCTGGGCAGTCAGATCCCATATATTACACACTGTTATCACATACAACACAAGTCCTAGCAAAAAAGGAAAATGCCAGGTCTTTCAGAGAGGCTGGTGAGGAGAGGGGCGATGGGGGTACAGTCCCCCATTCTCTGGCACAGAGAGGGTTACCCTTCCTGATCTGGGGTCTTCTCTGGGCCGCCATCTGTGTGCATGGCCCTCCAGGTGCTTCAAGGGACCAAAACAGAAATCAGGCGGAGATTCTCCTGCAGTTCACGGCCTGTTAACAGTGGCGCGCAGGGGCTGGGGGAGCCCTCCTGCCCCTCAACATTTGTGCATATTTAATAGTGGATCTCACACTCATCACTGGCTATGGGATAGGGGAGGAAGGAAGAAGACAAGAGGAAAAGCAGCACAAACCCCACTGCCCGGCTGGGCCTCCCAGCCCTCCTCCCTCCACCAGCCCCGGCGGCCCTTGCTCGCACCGGAGAGGCTGAAGCTGGATTCGTGCAGGTCCCTCATGCCCCCGTGTCGGGTAACGGGCCGCGTAGGAGTGTCTGCGAGTGGC